AATAGTATAATAGGCTTTAGCCATAAGTTTACTTTTAATTTTTCGTTTAAATTCATCAAGTGGCAGACTTAATATCCACTGTGGAATTTTATTATACATGCGCACACTTTGCCCCATGAACGACCTGTTTACTTTTTGTAGGCGAAATAATGGCGTAGTTTGTCCTTATTTCTAGTATTTAGTTTATGTCTGTCACTATTCTTTTGATAATTATTAATATTCTGTTTAACATACAAAATATTACAATAAATATATTGAGACGCAACAGTGAGTATATTAATCTCTTTAAAAAGATCTCTGAGTGTATTCCAGGCTCCGATGTTATAAATTGCTCGGACAACCCTTTTTTGAATAATAAATATTGAATTTATATCAGATGCACTACCGCACAACAAAATGCAGTACGACAAGATACTGTGAAAATAACTGTAGTAAACAAGTCTGGCAGTGTCGATGTCTGATAGCTGCCTAACCTTCCTAATTGCAAAAACAGCGGAGCTTAACCTATTCGCAAGAGATGATAGATGGGGACTCCATTGGAGCTTTGAATCTACTGTGATTCCCAAGAATACAGCGGACTCAACAGGATTAGGGGTTACGCTATTCAATTTTAAGCTAAAACTTCGCCTTCTTACGTTGGGAAGGGCAAAAAGAAGGCATTTGGTTTTTTTAGCATTTAACACCATATTATTAATGGATACGCGAAAGTGCACTATTCACGTCGTCATAATTCGATACATTTCGGTCAACCTTAAAAATAAGCGATGTGTCGTCAGCAAACAGTACAACATCACATAACTCACTGGCATAAAAGGGGAGATCATTTATATATACTAAGAATAATAATGGGCCCAAGATTGATCCTTGTGGGACACCCATTTTCATGGGGGACCCTGCGGAATTTACATCATTTATAGATACTTTTTGAATTCTATTACTAAGGTAAGAGGCAATGAGATTGAGGGCGATGTCACGAATGCCTGTCATGTTCATGGGACAGTCAGTCTGTCCCGTGACCATGACCGTAAACTAGTTTCATTTAATATGTATAATATTCGCGTAAAATCAAGAAAACAATATGATTAAGTTAACAACTTGATCTTTAAATTTGCTTCCGTGTTATTAGTTATTCAATAATAAATCGTTATTTGATTTTCGCTATTGTAACTTCATAATTAGTAATTGAAGTTATACTTCTTTTGGGGCATTTGGGAAAAATTATTATGAGAGTAAAATTTTTACAATGCGACATTTGTCGATTTGGCGATTTTTGTCGCTATGACCATAGTAAGTAACAACTTTTTGCCATTTGCCTTTTTATTAATGTGAAAAGTTGCCAAGCGAAAAGGTGGTTCACCTGATGTTAAGTGAATACCACCGCCCATGGACATCTGCTACACCCGAGGGTTGCAGATGCGTTGACAACCTTTTGAAAATTTGGCTCCGGCCTATAATCCCAAGTTAAATAATTAGTCCGTTATCAATTGTATTTAATGCCTTTTTCACAAACAAAGTGCTGTCAAAATTTTTAGTTATTTTTATTATATTACGCCAAAGAAATTTTACATGCGTACACAGGTACACATACATATTATCTGTATCGTGCGGCTAGATTAATATCCGCCTTCTTTGAGTCTCTTGCTGTCTACACATAACACAGAGCCTGCATATATCTCAATACCTTTATCAGATGCTATGATCATATCAGATAATAACGTAGTATATTACCGTCATATACGCAGATCAGATCGGCTGCTGTGTCTGATACTAATAAGATATCGATACCCATTGCATAATGTCGATTAAATCCGTTACATGCTAATATATTTATGAATACATTTTGTGAATCCTGCTCATCCTGTCTGTCACCAGACTGTCTCGTGAACCGTGATAGTTAGACAGTGGACATTTTCACACATGATGTATTTCTGTTGAAGCTTTAACAACAAATACTATAAAACGGAATAAAACAATACTTAAGTAGGGCTCCCATACAACAGACATCGGTTTTTGCCGTATGATGGTACGGAATTTGCGAGTCCGACTCGCAATTGAGCGGTTTTTTTTTTATAATTTTTAAGACAATAAGCTCAGGGAAGCGTTAATCGTAACAACTATCTCTTTCTATCCCTTGCGAGTTCCCGCGGGTGGGAATATGACACTAGACCAGGAATTTTCGCCGTAATCATCGTATCGTTTCACATTTGTTACCATACAAGATACGCCGACTCGTTTGCGCAATTTTTGCGTGAAACTGCAACGTAACAAAGCCGCACCGATGTCAATCGAGGCCCAGATTAGATATGATCCCAATATGTGGTAAGCTGTTTATGACATGTTACATTATGTTGTTGTTGCTTTCTCAAGCCGCAACACTCAACGCTCAGTCGGATTTGAGTTCTAATAAGCTCGCGCACGAAGTGTTTCGTTATCATAATAACCATCATCTATAATAACTACAAAACAACCTAAATTTAAAAATTAATAACTTAAACTAATTGGCAAGTACTTATTGGTTGCCTAGCTACCGCCTCGCATTTGTAGTGTAGGAGCCCCCCTTAAATATATTTTATTTTATTCTGTTTTTTAATATTTTTGTTATAGCTCCAACAGAAATACATCATCTGAGAAAATTTCAACTGTCTAACTATCACGGTTCATGAGATACAGCCTGGTAACAGACTGACAAACAGACAGACAGACAGATAGCGAAGTCTTAGTAATAGGGTTTTAACCTTTTTAACCTTTGGGTACGGAACTGTAAAAATTGCCGTTATACTCGCATCACGGAAAGAGTACTAGTAATTAATATAATGAGCAAAGATGTCTCCGGTATCAAACAGTTCGTCTTGTATTGAATTTCCACCAAAGTTTCCATATTAAAAAGGGACTAAATTTATTAAATGAAAAATACCTTATTATCGTATTACTCTATACATTTATGGTATCGGTTACGTTGGATTGAGATTATCGTAATATTAGATCTTTAATAGCCGTGATAAATATAGATAAAGGTGATAAGGTAAACTTAAATTGCATTGATACTAACATAAAAGCATTTTATTTTATTAGTGTTGCAATAATTTCTCGAAGGAAACAACACAAGTATACGTATATTGATCCAATTCTGCAGTGTTAGCGGTGGGGTTAGCTCCGGGGTCGACGACCCCGCCTTTTGTGCCAAGGACCTTATATTACCTAATTGCGTACGCGAAGTACCACTTCCCGCGAGTATTGGTTTATTCGCCGTAACTTATGTCCGTTTTTTGGCCGTATCATAATCATCAAAATTCATGTCACGATTTGAAGAAAGCAATGGGTTCTGCTTTCTTACTAAAAAAGTGGAAAAAATAATCTTCTCTTGACATTAAATTTGTGAGACTGGATTGTGGAATTTAGATTGTTTTGGACCTATTTTATTTAAAAGTGGCGACGCATTTGCAACCCTACGGGTGTTGCAAATGTCCATAGGCGGCGTTTATCACTTAACTTCAGGTGATCAGGCAAACGTTGTTTTGTCATATAAATTATTTCTAGGGAATTTGTGAATCTACACATAGAAAAAGAATTTTCAGAACACGCACATAAAACTTTTTCTCAATTCGACTGTATTTTTTTTTTTCATAACTTATCATTCGACTGGGTGAACCGGATTTTGACGATTCTTTATTTATTTGAAAGCTGGTTATTCCCACGTGGTCCCATATTATTTTCATTGGTACCGTATTGGATCTTGGTCTCCAGAGAGAATAAGGGAACTCTTGAAAATAAATTATATACAATGAATACAGAGCGAGATATTTGTAGTCTGTTTAGTTTTTCGTTAGTAATTATATTCATAGAATATGTCACCGACGCAACGCATAGTGCAATTATACAACGAAAACTTCATAAATGTTGATATTTTTGCGACTACGCCTTCATATATAAAAAAATGTCACTAAATATCTAAAAATTTATAATAACACACATCCTTGTTCTCAATGTATTCTTCTATATTATAAAAGGCGATTCCCATTAGAGTAGCTTTTACGAGCAATTTGACAAATCGAGTATATAAGCGCTACGCTGTATAAATAGCCGTTTTCCATTGAACAAAATTCCGTAATAACATTGAAGATAGACTTAACTTGAGTCACGATTCACAATATTCTTATAAGCGTGTTTATGAAAAAAGAATCTAAGGGTCTATACCACTCTGACCAATAACACGACAGTCGGAAATTCGCATGAATAGGTCATTCCAATAATACTTATGAATTAGATAATTAAGAATCGCCCTTATTTTTGTCCTGTTTTATATTGTTATATAGAGTGTCGTTACCATCGCGACAATAAATGAACACACGTCTAACGCTACTTGCCAATAATCATAAAAAATATTAACGTTGAAAAAAATCCATAGTTAAAAAAAAATTTTTTCAAACAAACTAAGTAAAAAAAGAAACAAAATTTGTAACATCCTATACAACTAACTGATTCATACTTCCGAGACTTTTCCATTCGTTGTCACAGCGTCGCATTACAAGCCTCTCCTTCTAACAGTATGTTTTGTCTCTATTAAATTCATTCAACCAATTCATATGGTTTGTGACCTTTACAAATGAACTTTATGTTACAGTTTTATATGTAAGGATGTTCTAAAATTCCTTGTTTTGGAAAATTTTATTATTGATGTTTAAGGAATGTAAATGTTTAATCAATTTTAAAAAGTTATCCTCTATATGTGTGTTTATTTATTGTCGCGATTATAACGACACGCTGTATATAGATTGTTCGTATCTATGACAAATTACGCTCATGGAGGCTGCTTTAGCGTCGGTCTTCATACACACTACACACGCACTCCAATTTATTGTTTTGCTCTCCAACAACTATGCTGAGTAATCTAGCCTTGGTATGCTAATTGCCATTGTCACTGTGGTATTCGCAGCTCATGAGAGAATTCGACAGTTAGTATACCAGTTCCAGACTAATAATGGACACTGTTTATTTCGCAGGGCGCCGAGAAACCCTTCAAGAAGGTGATCAAGGCGAACATTGGCGATGCACACGCCATGGGGCAGAAACCTATCACATTCATTAGGCAGGTGAGGTGTTTTTCAATTCGGACAACGTCTTATATCTAAATCCAAGGTCATGTGCTCAGAACGATACCGAATTTTCCAGCTCTTTTGTAATTTCATTGATTGTATTCCTTTTTCATTTTTAATATTGAAATATAATTTGAACCTTGTAAATAAAAATTGAAACTTCGTAATGTATGGTCATGGTCTGCTACGCGAGCCTTTTTTATGTTGCCGGATTTCACGAGTCCCAGGAATACTTTTTACTGATAAATATATCATTAATATTTTTAAATCAATTCTTTAAATTCGATTTATTATATTATACATTGTAGCGATATATAATTAACTAGCTGCTGCCCGCGACTACGTCTCTGTAGAAGAGGCTGAAGGCGTAACATTCAGACAGAAAGAAAGATATACATAAAATATGTATATAAATTATAGCCTATGTGTTATTCTGATGTATAAGCTATATTATTGTAAAGTTTCATTAAAATCCCATCAGTATTATTTGCGTGAAAGAGGAACAAACATCCATCCATACAAACTTTCGCGTTTATAATACTAGTAAGGACTAGTTAAATAAAACCTTTATATTTCTTAATTAATAATGACGCATTACGTTTTGACGCACGCACTAAAACCAGCAGAACTGAAATAAGCTGACTAAATTGAATGTTTTAAAAATAATTCGAACTTAAAGAATTGATTTAAATAATAAATAAAATGATTTTTGAATTAAAAAAAAAATTACTTATATACCTTACTATGTATTTCTATTATATTCATACTCTCTGTATACTAGACCATATATTCTGATATAGTTTTTGACGTTCAATACTTACCTATTCATAATAGAAAGATATTCCGTAACATCATATTTTTTTCAGCGTACAAACTCCTACAGTAGGAGATTTGTTCTATTCCGGACTTACGTCTTTTCCAGGTGTTGGCGTGTATAAGTTATCCGGACCTAATAGAGACGGTCGACTTCCCGGAGGACGTGAAACAGCGCGCCAAAGACATACTGGGAGGATGCGGGTTTGTCCATCACTATTGATATGACCTATTAGTAGGAGACAACATATTCTGGTCAAGATCCCATAATCTTGTTAGATATACACTTCGTAGTAATAAAATTAGTGAGATTTTTTTAATGTGAAAAGTTGCTATACGAGCAAGATGATGATGATGTTAAGTGAATACCGCCGCCCGTGGACATTGCCTCACCCGAGGGTTACAGATGCGTTGACAACCTTTGAAACTTGGGCTTCGGCCACCTCACTCACCAGACGAAACGCGAAAGTATTTCATACTTCCACTTTACGCCGGTCTTCTGTGAGGTCTTGGTACTAACCCGGACGGGCCTGCCCATTCGTGCAACAGCCGTGGCTGCTGCGTGGCCCTACCACCGACACAGATACATTGGAATATATTGATATTTGGCAGTCTCTCTGTTTTTATAAACATTTTCAGACACACGTCATACACGAGAAAGCCAGGAATAATATAGTGCAATATAGCGGCAGCCAAGTTACGCATTAATGTATTGCTTCTATCGTTTATATTAGGATGATAAGTCAATTTTACAACTTTTAATGGCTTGTGCTGATATTGCACCTTGTTTTCGCTATTGCACGAACGGCACCTAAGAAGACCGGCGTAGAGCGGTAGTGTTAGACTTTGCGTTTGGTCTGTCGAGTGGTAACCGGGGCCCACTTTATTTGAAAGGTGGCGGTCTATCTGCAACCCTACTGGTGTTGCAAATGGCCATGTGCGGCCGTTGTCGCTTAACATAGGGTGAACCACAAACTCACTTGCTCTATGCTTTAACATAAAAGAGTATGTGTGTACTTATGTACGCACGTAGAAGAACAAGTTGTACTTCTTTAGCGTAAAAACAATAAATACAATTGATAACGGTCTATTTGAATAACTCTGTATTGTTGTTAAATGTGAAATTGGTTGCCGTAATACCGTGAAGTCGGTTACGAAGCAACTTTTTCATCGTGTCGCTTGTAGAAGGCCTTACTCTCGTGATCGTCTTCCAAACGCGCGGAGAGAAGTGTAAGTCGTAAATAAGCGAGAACGGCAGGGGCGGGTCCGTGGGCTCGTACACGATGTCGCACGGCATCGAGCTGGTCCGGCGCCACGTGGCCGAGTACATAGCGCGGCGCGACGGGCACCCTGCCCACTGGCAGGACGTGTGCCTCTCCGCGGGCGCCTCCACCGCCATCAAAAACGTGCTGCAGCTGCTCTGCAACCACGTGGACGGGAAGCCCTCCGGTACGGCCACTTTGCTACTTCCATCCCCTGACCTGATTGACTGGGGAGTCAATCACCCACTTTGTTACTTCCATCCCCTGACCCCCCAATCAATCACCCACTTTGCTACCTCCATCCCCTGACCCCCCCAGTCACTTCGCTAGTTTCATCCCAGGACACGTCAACCAATCACCCACTTTGGTTGTTCTATCTCCGGACCCGTAAAGCAATCGCCCACTTAGCTAGTTCCATCCTTTGACCCGTCAATCAATCACCCACTTCGCTAGTTCCAGCTTTGGCCATTTCGTAAAAGATGCATGAAAAAAATTTTCATGAATTTTGAGCATTTTTTTTCAAAGCTATTGTTTTGTAATTTTGTTAAATAAGCGTAAAGTATAATAATTTTTTGGTTATTTCATTTCATCCATATGTAACAAAACAGCCCATACAGACCTTTCTTATCTCCCGCTTAAAGGGGAAATTGCAATGCAAAGAAAACTATGTTTTGTGATAGTCCTTCAGTTAAAAATAATAAAATAAAAGATTTCTTGGAATTGTGTCATGGAATTTCAAGATTAATGCAATATTTTTAATATTAGGGATTTCAATGGAAAGAATCAAGACCGTATACCACGGTGATAGGATGGGCTTTTATTTATTTAACTGCTTATATTTATGGGGAGGTTGCTTTGTGTAATGTTGTGCTTATGTCAATTTAGTTATATTTCTGCTTTATGTCAATTTAGTTATATTTTCTATATATATAAATTTATAGATTTTTTCTTTGGTTTTGGTTTTCTTTTTTGGTCTTTGTAAAATAAAGGCCTATGAATATATTTCTAGATATTTTTGTGCATTTTTTCGGTATAACAATTCTCTTGTTCACGTCGACCCATCTCTGTATTTTCGTGTATCGAACAAACTGAACTCAATTTTCAATACGCAAAACTAAAATGCGTTGTAGTTTTTCAAGTTTTCGCGATTCATGGCGTATTATACATATAGATTGTAGAGCGAAGATATTTTATTAGAAATGGCGTGGCACAGGGCGTTGTACAGTGTCAATTAAAACATATTGCCTTTTGTTTTTATGAAAGTTTCGTTATTTCAATTGAAAACTTTTCCCGATAGGTGCGACAATCGTTTATTGACCCATCTCGTATATTATATACCTTTAAGATGGCATGCGTACATATAAGAGTATCGGGTGTGACCATCTCCCGCAGGGGTGATGATCCCGATCCCGCAGTACCCGCTGTACTCGGCCTCGCTGGCGGAGTTCGGGCTGCGGCAGGTGGGCTACCTGCTGGACGAGGAGCACGGCTGGGGCCTGGACCTGGGCGAGCTGGAGCGGGCGCGCTCCGCCGCGGCGGAAGAGAGCAGCGTGCGCGCCCTGGTGGTGATCAACCCCGGCAACCCCACGGGGCAGGTGCTCTCGCGCGCCAACATCGAGGCCATCGTGCGCTTCGCCCACCAACACCGGCTGCTGCTCTTCGCCGACGAGGTCTACCAGGAGAACGTCTACGCCGAGGGCAGCCGGTTCTTCTCCTTCAAGAAGGTGACAGCTGCTCTCCTTCTCGATTCCCACACGGGATGAGTGTGGTCTGAGTGTTCGTTGCCCGAGGAGGGTTGACGTTAGGCAGGTTGTAAAAAACGTAACCAAAACCGCACCAGGATATTCTTTTATCGTTATTTGACAAGAAATATGTTTGGAATACATTCAAGTTCCTTCGAAAGAATCATTTACTGATAGCACTATTTTTTGTCCCGAATCCCGTCGCACCAAACGCGTCCGTCGCAGGTGATGCGCGAGATGGGCGAGCCGTACAGCAGCGAGCTGGAGCTGGCGTCGTTCATGTCGGTGAGCAAGGGCTACGTGGGCGAGTGCGGGCTGCGCGGCGGCTGGATGGAGCTGGTGAACTTCTGCCCGGAGGTGCAGGCGCAGCTGTTCAAGTGCATCTCGGCCATGCTGTGCCCCAGCGCGCTGGGCCAGGCGGCCGTGGACTGCGTGGCGCGGCCCCCTCTGAGAGGGGAGCCCTCGCACGCCCTCTGGGCCCAGGAGAGGGCGGCCGTGCTGGGCTCGCTGGCCGACAGGGCGCGTCTGGTGGCCGACACCTTCAACAGCATGCCCGGCTTCAGCTGCAACGTCGTCCAGGTGCGATCGGTGATTTGTAGTTTGTACAATAGCACGGATCTGCTTCTGGAACGATAAAGCGTCGCCCTCCGCAGGGCGCAATGTACGCGTTCCCGCGCATCGAGCTGCCGCCGCGCGCGCTGGAAGCGGCCGCCGCCAAGGGACAGCCGCCGGACGTCTTCTACGCCTTCCAGCTGCTCGAGCAGACGGGTGCGGATCCACTATATCGCATTAAATCATATTCTATACAAAAACTCTACATGAACAGCCCAGTTTTCAAAAGGTTGTCAATGCATCTGCAACCCTCAGGTTTGCCAGATGTCCATGGGCGGCGGCATTCACTTAACATCAGGTGAAACGTCTGCTCATTTGACAACTTTTATAAAAAAATAAATAAATAAAAAAAACATTATTGAGCATAATAGGTAGATATGATACTAACACATCAAAACTGGGAACATGATTTTTCAACGTACCCTGGATTGACTGGGAGACAATGCGAAATGGCATTAAGTTCACCCTTTGTTATCCTATCCCGGACAAGCCCCCAGAACTGTGGGGGAGAAAAAAAAGTTATTTCACTTTGGAATATTCTTTATTACATGGATTTACAATTGTTCACTTATAGAGTACACGCGTCGTTCCTATTGTTTATCGCCATTATCGCCATTACCCTTTTTCCATCCCTTTCACGCAGGTCTTCCTTTTCGTAACTTCCGTGCTATCCGTTCCATGTATCATTTACTCATTCGGATAGTAAAGCACAACGACCGCACTGACCTAAAAAATCTATTGTAACTAAAAATTTTGAGCCAGGCCCTCACTTGAGAATCAACGATTAATGATTGCAGCAATGATATACAAATATGAGTGTCCAACTATAAATAGCTTGCAAACAAAAAGTACATTGTTACCCGTTGGCAGGCATCTGCATCGTGCCGGGGTCCGGGTTCGGGCAGCGCGAGGGCACCTTCCACTTCCGCACCACCATCCTGCCGCAGCCGCCGCTGCTGCGCGACATGCTGCAGGCCTTCAGGGACTTCCACGACCGCTTCACCAGGCAGTACGCCTAGGCTGCTCATTTCTGCTCATACTGCAGCCGGTACAGCACCAATATTGTGGAGTGAATCATTCGATGCGTTTGTTGGGCACGATGTCATTGTTCTTATAGTGGTGTTAGAAAATTAATTTTAAAAATGTTCTGCTACTATTGTATGCCTCCGAGGTACAGATTTGTACTGTGTCCTATTCTCAAAGTGATCGTTAATAGGAACGGTTCTTTAATTAACAGAAATCTGTATTAAATAGTTTTGTTTCGTGCATTCGTGGCTTTGTCTAACAAGACTACCAAATGCTCATCGAGCATTTGTACTGTGTCATATTCTCAATGGCGGCTCGTTAGTTGAATAAAAAAATCTTGTAATAATTTACTGCTAACAGGAATCTGTTTTAAATTTGTTTTGTGCATTCATGACTTTGTCTATCAAAACTACTACCAAATGCTCGTCGGAAATCTGTACTGTGTTATATTGTTAATGGCGGCTCATTGATTTAATAAAAAATGTCTTTAATAATTTACTACTTCAGGAATCTGTATTAAATAGTTTTGTTTCGTGCTGTTTCTCCTAAGACGACTTTTACAAGGAATTATAACGGCATTATTGGTTATTGCGCCTTGTGTCTAGTCCACGTGCCATTATTGTTACGGAATATCTCTGAAAATTTTGTTACTGAATTGTTTTTGTTTCTTTATTGTATTATAATATTTTGTATATTTTCCCGCATTTTTAACGTTGCGTTTTTTATTTATTGCTTTATATGTAAAAGCGAATACTCGCTATAAAACATGAAAAAAAAACTTTACTAATTTTAAAATTAAGATATTGTATATATGATATTTCAGTGTGTTTAACATTCTGTTCGTATAGTTTTCCATGTTGACAGCCATTTTTCTTCAAAGCTATTTTGCCTTGTTGATATTATTTACTGTAGGGTAGCTCAAAGCAATAATTCTGAAAATGAATTTGTTGACATTCCCCATGCAAAAGAGATTTTGTTTTTATTGTTATGGTTTGGTTATTTTGAATAAAGAAAACCGTGATATGGTCTGAATGAAAGCAGTATCATTAAATAGAAAATTGTTTTTGTCAAATATATCCCGTCCCACACACATGCACACTAATTATTAGGCTTTGAAATTATATTACCAGTTATAAGAAAAAAAATGCACTAAGCTCATAAAATTGTGAAATGTTCCCGTCATTAAAAAGCTGTACAAATATATTGCCTTATTATTAGGATGTTTTCTTCTTTATTTTTGACAGTACTATAATTAGTAAGCAATAAGTTTAGTGTAGTAATGTGGACTTGTTTTTGATTTAATGTACCTGAGTATACAGGGAGGCTATTCTAAGTGTATCCATTTTTTATTGTTAAAATCTAGACATGAATAATGTTATATAAGAAATGATAAATATTTAAAATCACTCTTAAATAATTCATTACATTAATTTAACTTATTTCAAAAAGTGCGTGATTTAAACGCAACTCATTTATTTTACGCGCGATCATTCATTACTAACACGCACACAAGTTCGTGCACAGTAAAATTAAGATATTTATGAATGACTACCGCATTGACAATACGTTCTGTTTTTTTAGGGAATAGAATGGCTGTATTTTTTTGGAAAAAACTTTGTTTTTTATTTCAATAAACGATTATACTAACGAGTCTGAACCGCCTGTGTAAATTTGGGCACTTCTCAAAAAATCTCCCTGTATAATAAATAATACATATTAATAAAATCGATTATTCTCAGTGTCCAAAACATCAAACATCTACAAACTTAATTTTACGAAAATGATTGTTGCGCCCTTTGATTATATAGACAAGTTTATGATCAAAGGTGCGCCAAAATACACTGAAACTCATGATGTGACATGAAAGAAAATCATGCTTATTTCACTATAGCGATGTGCGACTCGAGTTATTTGATTCGAGTAACTCGAATCAAACCTTAAACGAGTCAACTCGAGTTCAGTTTTAAGCAACTCGAATCAACTCGGTCGTCCGAACGCAAACCGGACGTTATACGCGGGGGCCTCACGAGTTGTTCCGAGTTACACACGCGGCTCGCGCGCGCGGTTCGTTAGGCGTTGCAACTCGCATCAACTCGAGTTGAGTGAAATGCAAAGTTACGTTACACGCGCGAGCGCCGTTCGTAAGGTGTTGCAACTCGCATCAACTCGAGTTGAGTGAAATGCAAAGTTACGTTACACGCGCGAGCGCCGTTCGTAAGGTGTTGCAACTCGCATCAACTCGAGTTGAGTGAAATGCAAAGTTACGTTACACGCGCGAGCGCCGTTCGTAAGGTGTTGCAACTCGCATCAACTCGAGTTGAGTGAAATGCAAAGTTACGTTACACGCGCGAGCGCCGTTCGTAAGGTGTTGCAACTCGTAAGGTGTTGCAACTCGCATCAACTCGAGTTGAGTGAAATGCAAAGTTACGTTACACGCGCGAGCGCCGTTCGTAAGGTGTTGCAACTCGCATCAACTCGAGTTGAGTGAAATGCAAAGTTACGTTACACGCGCGAGCGCCGTTCGTAAGGTGTTGCAACTCGCATCAACTCGAGTTGAGTGAAATGCAAAGTTACGTTACACGCGCGAGCGCCGTTCGTAAGGTGTTGCAACTCGCATCAACTCGAGTTGAGTGAAATGCAAAGTTACGTTACACGCGCGAGCGCCGTTCGTAAGGTGTTGCAACTCGCATCAACTCGAGTTGAGTGAAATGCAAAGTTACGTTACACGCGCGAGCGCCGTTCGTAAGGTGTTGCAACTCGCATCAACTCGAGTTGAGTGAAATGCAAAGTTACATTACACGCGCGAGCGCCGTTCGTAAGGTGTTGCAACTCGCATCAACTCGAGTTGAGTGAAATGCAAAGTTACGTTACACGCGCGAGCGCCGTTCGTAAGGTGTTGCAACTCGCATCAACTCGAGTTGAGTGAAATGCAAAGTTACATTACACGCGCGAGCGCCGTTCGTAAGGTGTTGCAACTCGCATCAACTCGAGTTGAGTGAAATGCAAAGTTACGTTACACGCGCGAGCGCCGTTCGTAAGGTGTTGCAACTCGCATCAACTCGAGTTGAGTGAAATGCAAAGTTACATTACACGCGCGAGCGCCGTTCGTAAGGTGTTGCAACTCGCATCAACTCGAGTTGAGTGAAATGCAAAGTTACGTTACACGCGCGAGCGCCGTTCGTAAGGTGTTGCAACTCGCATCAAGTCGAGTTGAGTGAAATGCAAAGTTACGTTACACGCGCGAGCGCCGTTCGTAGTTCGATATTTTCTCTTCGATATATGCCTCCATATACATATTACATATCGATATAATTCTTCACTTTCGACATCCCTAAAGTACACGAGCGGCACTCAGAGGTATTAAATATTTGAAGTCCGTCTTTCCGTCCGAATACAACGTAGGCGTTTTCAAGGCAAGAGTGAATAGGTTTCTACCAATGATATACTCTATATCAATACAATACAATATAAATATATACAATACAATACAAATACAATAGTTTCTATTAATAATATACTCTTTGATCGCCACTTACCATCGGGTGGGATGGCAGTCAAGTGCTGGCCAGTTTTGAATTTAAAAAAAAGGAACCCTGTCCCGGATTCGCATTTGAAAAATATATCGTTTTTGATACGATTTCGTTATTGAATATTTATCGATATATCGGAAGAATATTGAAATATAGAATTTGTCAATAATTTGTGTGTCAAATTATTGACAAATTCTGTTTTATGAAACAAATTGTGATTTTTTAACAAATTTTGAATGAAAATTTTAATAATCCATTTCTTAATCGATACAAAATTAAAAATAAATGTTGATTATCTGTGGAACTTCTCTACGACACAGTTGTTTTGTTTTTGAATTGGTTTTTTAATATAATATAGTTTTAGATTTTAGATATATAACAGTAAGTACTTACTGTACTGTGGCGATAATATTAATTTTTAATGATACACGTACACAATGTTCAAGTGTAAAAAATAAAAATAAGAAAGTGCTTGTGATATGTTATTTAAGTATCCTGTACATTACTATATCTTCCAACAAAGTAAGAACCTTTAAGGTAAATATTCCGTACAGTAGGTCTCGTTTTTCAAGCTAGAAAAAATTTTAAACGATAGAGAAATGTTAATAATTAAATATTACATACGTGAAAACCAATGCAAACAAAAAAAAAATATTTAAAACTTGTTATTTTACTAAAGAAATCCGCCATTTTGTGTTTGACAACATGTATTAGCTAGGGCATTTAACTAGGGGTAGGGACCACAAGACCACATGGAGTCGGGGTGCTCTGTGTCGGATCTGTGACTCATTTTGAATGTAACTTAGTCCATTAGTATCATAGATTTTAAAAATCACATATAAAACTATCAGCTTGAGTTACGTTAAGACGAATTTAATTTAAATCAGTTTATAATACACCATGGTTACATTAAGGGCTTTTAACAAAAAGATTTTATAAAATTTGTAATCGAGTTTCGAAATCGATATAAGGATATTGGCTGTATCATTATTTTTGATGCCTAATTGTATGTCAAATTTAAAACCAAAAGTATTTCCCGCTCATTTATATTAAACAAATATGTATATACCTACATTTTGTATTAGTCTTATTTTTTAATAAAAGTTTATTCAAATCGGAATGAAATCGTTCAGTACTTTTTAATTTTTTGTGTTATCATGAATTCTTGAAAAAAATTTAAATGTTTTAAGTGAGGACAAGACAGTGTTTTACGGAAGGTTTTTAATGTGAAAAATATGTTGACAATAGTAAAATGGCGGATTTTCTTAGTGAATTACGTTTAATTACGTTTTTTTCTCGAAAAGTATAGATGACCATCAATTATTTTTTATTGATTACTTAGTGATATGTCTCTATAGTTATGTGTCGTTTAAATTTTTTTTTGTTTGCTATATTAAAGTAGTGGGCTGCTGAAATTTTACCATAATATTTAATTATTAACATTTCTCTGTAGATAAAAATTTTTTTCTAGCTTGAAAAACGAGACGTACTATTCGGAATATTAGCCACATTTTATTTATTAATTATTACAAGGTATACTTGTAATTATTAATAAATAAATGTTTGTGAAAATTTGATATTATTGTTAATATTGAATTCAGTATTTCATCAGGCTAGTCACTTATATCTGTACATTTATCTAGGATGTTCCCACTAATATAAGAAAACGATTTGTCAAATTTAAACCGTCGGAAATTAATAGATTCGGAGTTATTAATTGTAGAATTATTGATTATATTACATTGAAAAATAAGAGATGGCTCAGTTTTCCATTGACGTCCATCGAGTTGGTTGTGATATATTTTTTACAGAAAGGTTACATGAACATACGCAACATGATAAATATAGGAAGCGAGCGACGTCATACTCGTATCAATTGTAAAACATTATAAAAACTTTTTGTAAAGTTTCGCGCGCAACGTATCTTTGTCTCTCTCACTACTTTTAAAATCATTTAAAAATTTACATAAAATCTAGGAAACCATGAACTAGATCAACTTTTTAATATGGCAACCTAATATAGGTAAATTAAGAATAAAATAAGCTTTCATTTGACATTTTTTCGATTAAATAATTGATGAGGGTATTTATATAACATTTACTCACCTGTTTATATCTGGCAACCCCTTAGTTGCGCAGCCGTAATATTAGGCAAACTATACGTTTTGAATTCTGTTTTTGTTGGGTTTATTCTTTTGACTAGTGTACATTTTGTGTGTACCAGAAGAAGTAGGTGAAATAAATTTAATTATTTAATATTATTCGGGCGCAATTTAACTAGGCGCAATCTATTTGCAATGTTTCAATGTGAAAATTATCTGTTATTTATTTCTTATCACTAATAAATATCAGATCCGGTATAAGAAATATATACCCTATATATTTCTTATACCGGATCTTGCACTATTGGCAATATCGTAGATTTTTACTCTTTACGTCTAATTACGGCCTCGACAACTTACCGTGTCGCGAATTGACTAGGGATCACACGATACATCGATGTTTTAATATCGATGTTGAAATCCAAAAAGACATCGATACATCGTACTTCGGAAACGACCCTTGACCATTATTCTTTATTTGTTAGACAGGCCATAAAATAAAATTTTCCATTATCGTCCGGGCGTTTTTCAACGAAATAAAATTTTTATTTGGTAAAGAAAAAGACAAGCCGAATTCGGCAGTCACTTATAGTATTAGAGAAAAAAATATTTAACATTTTAAAATTTTAACTTAGTTACACACTACAAAAGCATGATGTGCCCTGTTTAAAAAAAATGGATATTGAAACTATTTGAGCATTCAATGAGTTATAAAGATAGTTTAAGAAAAATGGAGGAGGAAAAAAAATAACAAAAAATTATATTTTGTAATGAATGTATTTTACATAATATTTCCGACTAACGTCCAACGACAAGTTAGAGCTATAATAAACCCAATACAAAAATATTTTCATCTCCTTATGCGTTATATTGACAGATTTATACTTTTTACATTATATGTATATATTATATTTAATTTTCAATTAAATGTGCTTCGTCCATACTATGTAAGGTTTGTGATGTTTTATTAATATTCACAGAGGATATTGGGTCCGTGCTGTTCATATCTTATCGTACATATTTATAGCTAAAATTAAACTCTGTAGATAAAATTTGGATTAAAATGTACATCACAACTGGAATGGAGCGCACATATTTACAATTTACTTGATAGGCTTACATTTCGACAGAGAGGAATTGACGACGTTAATTATTTTAAACATTAAAAAAAAATAAACAACAGAGAGTCTATCTCACACATTTATGGCAAATTGTCAATGATTCCATATAAAAAAATCTAATAAATTTTACCATTCAATAGACAATTATAAAACACAACATTGCTATATTTTACATAGTCTTAAAACGAAATAAATAAATTATTCTCTATATAGTACGTCGCTTATTGTCAAATGAATTTAAAACCCTATAAGAAAGCAGTGGTTGCCACCAAACAACAATTCCTTAATTAATTATTTATGTACTAAGTTATTTAACTCTAAATCGACATCATTTACACAGATCAGGAATGTAGGCGCAGTACAGTTTAACGGATCGGTTAGTGATGTGCCATGCACTGTATGGGATCGGATAAGTCTTTTGACCCGAGAGGGAATGGGATTATTAGTTCAGCTCTACAATTCTCGCTTATAAATGTATACACTAACGTCGAGCCTATCACGAGTTGATATGAACCGAGGACCGCGAGTAAGTACAGCCGTCACGAGACTTCACTGAAGTTGAGCGAGCTTACAGAGTTAATATAGAATCTGTATAAATTCAACAGTACAACTAAGATAGATAGTATTTCACAACGAATAGAAAGTGGAAAAATAGAAACGAAGAGTCGCTCAGTCTCTGCGATTGAGCAATGAAGCTATCAGTGGATAGGAGTGGAGGGGAGTGTGAGGGAGGTGGGGGTCGCTAGCAGTCGGCGTCGTGGTCGTGGCGGTCCTCTCTGACGAGGCGCTGCGTGTCGCGGCCGAGGTCGGCGGCGGGGTCGAGCGCGCGCTTGCCCCCCGCGCCCGCGCCCGCCCCCGCCAGCGCCGTCGCCGTCTCGCTCGACGAGGGCGACAGCACCGCCGAGCCCACCTTCTCCTTCACCTCCTCGGGCACCTCGTAGATGCCGGCTGCGGACGACGCGTCAGCGGTGAACACGAATCGTTCTTAATAGTGTGGGGACTAACTAGGTTCGCGGTTTAGTGCTACAATCAACAGTGCAACAGGTCGCTATTGAAATCTTGCACTCGGTTTCTAGTAGGTGCGAGAAATGGAAATATCGAAGCTCTTCAATCCGACAGACTGTGATTGATTAATTCTATTATCGATTTATTCTTTAATCTAACACAAAGTCAAAACGATCACGGTGAAAGCGAACAAAATAGAAACAAGATGACATCGGAGAGGAAATGTGAAAAACAGATACTAACGCAGTGCGGGCTCGACGTCGGGGTGCGTCCTGACCACGGCGTCGTACATGGGGTTGCTGAAGTCGCGGCCGGCGCGGGGCTCGTGCAGCGCGTACGCGTCCGCCCCCGCCCCCGCCCCCGCCGCAGCCCCCGCCCCGCCCACGCCCCCGAACTCCACGTTGGAGCCGGCGCGGAAGGACACGCTCTGCGAGGAGGCCAGGCTGCCCAGCCCCACGCCCTTGCCGCTGCGGAACGGTTCAACGGACCACACTCAGCGGCGTCCGAGAAGTGAGCGACAACGATCACTTCTCAGCCGCCATTAAATTATTGTTATTAATTCACTGGAGATGTTAGATCGTTTCGATGGTCCTTTTAGGCGGATCAAAGAGAGGACTCACAAGGGCCGCTTGCGGATGACGAAGAAGGCGGCGGCGGCGGCGGCGAGCGCCAGCGCGGCGGCCAGCAGCGCGGGCAGCAGCACGTGCGCGGCGGCTTGGCAAGGCGGCGAGGGCGCCTCGCAGCGCGGCGGCAGCAGCGGCGCGCGGCAGCGGCAGCGCGGCTCGTCGCCGACGGCGGGCTCGGCGGGCTCGCACCAGCCGCCGTTGCGGCAGGGGCAGGCCAGCGGCAGCGCGCGCGGCCCCTCCACCGGCGCGTCGCAGGCCAGCTGCTGCGCCGCGCGCTTCGGCGGCAGCTGCTGGTCGGGGCAGGCGCAGCGGCGGCCCGCGGGCACGGCCAGGCACAGGTGCGAGCACGGCAGCCGCGAGCAGGCCGCGCGCTGCGCGCCCGTCGAGTTGTAGCGCCGCGGGTGGTACACTGCGCGAAAAGTGGTATACAAAAAAAAATCTAAATATCGATACTCAATACCGTCAAAACATCATATCGGAATTGAAAAAAAATTAGAAGACATATAAACTACGCTAAACCTTCATCGCAAGTATTACGGAATAGCAATAACACGACAGACTTATGTTTCAAAAATTTTGTAGGTATTTTGATTATACATTTGCATGTGGGTATTTGTTAATCTTAACGTGGGAACTGAATACCGAATAAAAGTTAGTCTTGGTTCACTCATGCTCTCTCATTAACGTATCTATTTAACCCAACCCAAACATGGCGCAGTCGGTAGGATCAAGTTGAAGTAAAAAATCATAAATTAAAATCAAGAAGTGAAATAAGTCGTCAAAGTAAAACACGCCGTAAAAGCAAGTTTTGAAAATTATTATTCTAACGACAACTGTATCAACGCAATGGAGTCCGTGTGACAACCGCCTCAACCGTTTATTTTTGAAAACAATTTAAGTAACGTGACATCGAGTAATTTATCCAAAGAGTGGGAAAAATGGAAGAAAGCATTTCTAATATATTATGAAGCCTGTGAACTTGCGAAAAAGGATCAAAAAGTACAAATTAACATTCTTCTACACGTCATCGGAGATAAGTGCCAGGAAGTATATGACCAACTCCTTTTGGAAAATGGACTGAAAGAATTTAAAACAATCTATGAAGTGCTGTTAAAATTTGATGCTTTCTTTCTTCCACAAAAGAACATAACGATGACGCGACACATATTTTTCACACGTGACCAACAAGAAGTGGAGACTACCGAACAATACGTTTTCGAGTTGAACAAGATGGCGGCAAAATGTGAATTTAAAGATTTATGCCAGGACTTAGTACGTGATAGACTTATTTGTGGGATAAGAGACGGAAATATAAGAGAAAGGTTGTTAAGAGAACCTCACCTAAATTTAAAGAAAGCCGTGGAAATATGTACTCTAGCCGAAATGTCGAGAGCGCAGGCTGTAAACATAAAGTGAGAGAGGTCGGAGCACTACGTTAATATCATTAAAAATGATGCTGAGCAAGATGAAGGTAACGCAGTCGTACCGCGCACTCACAGCCACCCTTGGCGTACGCGGGAGCGAAGGGTGAACTCCAAGACTATCCGGAATTGTTGGAACTGTGGTGGGACACATGGTAAAAACTGCTGTCCCGCCTATGGTCAACGGTGCCGCAAATGTCAACGCATGAATCACTATTCACGTATGTGTAGGGTGCATGGGATTGAAGAAGACTCCAGCGATCAGGTAAATAAAAATTGTAGTAATGACTGGTCAGTGAAATTGCAAATAAATGATAATTTTTTAACTTTTAAGTTGGATACTGGGGCCGATGTGAATATTATACCTAAAAAGTATATTAATAAAGTCAATACTAATGAAAACGAATTAGCGCCCGAAAACGAATTGTTACCTTTCGAATTGTCAGGCTTGTCTGATGTACAAAAAATGCAATTTTAAAGAACCTTTGATGCCACACGAAATTCCGATTAGGGCGTGGTCTAAAGTAGGCGTCGATGTATTTCACTTTGGAACGAAATCGTTTTTATTGATTGTAGATTATTATAGTAAGTTTGTCGAAATTGTAAAGGTTGCTTTGCTTAAAATCAGATTTAATTGTCACAAAATTGAAAAAAGTTTTTGGTAGACACGGAATACCAGAAATAGTAATGACTGATAATGGAACTCAGGACGAGTTTGCATCAAACTCATTTCATGAGTTTGCAAATGAATGGAAGTTCCGGCATGTGACGTCATCACCCAGATATCCTCAATCTAACGGCCAAGTCGAGCGTGCTATACAAACGGTTAAAAATATTATGAGAAAAACGGCTTTTGATCAAGGGGATTTTTCATTAGCGTTACTTGAATATTTAAATACACCGATTAGTAATGAATTACCCAGTCCAGCAGAGTTATTATATAATAGAAAGCTCCGCAGTATAATTCCTTGTTCTCCAAATTAGCTGAAACCCAAAATTAACGAAAACGTTACAAAAATACTGCACCGGCGACAACAAAAGCAAAAAATGTTTTATGACAGAGGTTCTCGACACTTGAAAGAGCTAGCAGTTGGGCAAAAAGTTAGTTTTAATAGACAACAAATGGGTGTCCGGCACAATTAAAAATATTGTAGGCCCAAGATCATATCTAATTATCATGTCATCAGGAAACATCTTAAGACGAAATAGAAGGCATATTATTGTAGATTCAAACACACGCGTCAATGAGTCGTCTAAGTTTAGCACCCAATACGATGACATTTGTGTAGAAAACAATATGCGGTTCGCAAGCGCCGGCACGCCACACGGCTCCAGTACCCCGCCACAAGGTCGTTGTTCGCAATCAGCTGATCGCTTACCTTATCCTTACCTTATGCTAACCATTATTATCGCACTCGTTCCGGCAGGGAAGTGAGACCTCCTGATCGCTGGGGCTTCTCTTCACCACAGTCGTAAGTGATTAATTTATTGGTAAGAAATCTATTCCATTTTTTAATCAATATAATGTGAACCTATTTAAATTTTGATGATTATTTTAATGTGTGTTTTAATTTTAATGTTTATTTTAATGTATGTTTTAATTTTAATGTTTATTTTAATGTGTATTTTAATTTAAATAAAAAATAATTATGTGCAATGATTTTATAATTAATTTAATGTAATTAATAATTGTTTATTGGATGATTGATAATTAATAATAATGAATAGCAATCGGCAATTGAGATTAAATTGATTTTAAATGAATAATTATTATTGTATTTGCATGTTACTTTTCTTATAGTATTTTCCATTTATACCTTATATTATTATAAAAAATCGCAATTCAGATTTGTAAAGTAGTATTGTGATAATTGAATTTGTAAAATTCTGAAGTGTTAATAATATAAGAAAATAATTAAGTAAATATATTTTAAGGATGAAGTTAAATTACAAATATCACCAATATATATATATATAGATATAGATATACATATTTCTTTTAAGTTTATGAATTTGGAATAAATAATAATGTAATACATTTAAATAGAAATTAAACTTAGGATAATCATAATGAAAATCTGAGCTTATCGTAACTAAAAATATGTAAATAATTTATTTGATTAATTATTAATTGCTTTTTTTTATTTGTTATTTTTTTTTGTAAACAAAGGGATTGTAGGTATTTTGATGATACATTTGCATGTGGGTATTTGTTAATCTTAACGTGGGAACTGAATACCGAATAAAAGTTAGTCTTGGTTCACTCATGCTCTCTCATTAACGTGTCTATTTAACCCAACCCAAACATTATAGTGAAGCATTTAAAATATGTTTAAGAAAGAATATACTGGTTAAAACGTTTAAAATAAAGTAATATGTATTTATTTTGATCGATACTCATTTTTTTTACTCGTACTGACCTTTCACAGCCGATGGATTGACTAGATCTTTGGAGATGACGAACGGCACCCCCCTTCCGAACTTGTCCTGTTTCACGAGCTCGCCCGTGTCCCTCGTCACCCAATAGAGCGACGACTCGAACACGTCCAGCGAGAGGGGATGCTTGAGCATGTCGCCCTTCAGGATCACCTTCCTGTTGGAGCCGTCGTGCCGCATCATCTCGATCGTGTTGAGCTTGGTGTCCGCCCAGTATATCGCGTGGTCCATGGCGTGGTCGATGGCCAAGCCCGTGGGGTGCCTAATGTTCTCCGTGACGACGGGCCGCCTCTTGGAGCCGTCCATCCAGGCGATCTCTATTTTGGGCGCGGAGCCGGCGTCGGCCCAGAACATGCGCCCCATCTGCGGATCGAGCGCCACAGACGTCGGGCTCTCGATTCCGGCCGAAACCAGCGCCCTCCTATATCTGCCGTCGGTCCTGGCCACCATGACGCGGCCCCTCGGCTTCGAGCCCGTCCTGTCCGCCTCGGTCCAGTACAAATTGTCCCCGACGTAGTCTACAGCTATCGCGGTCGGTTTCGAATTGCCCTTCATGTTCAAATCCTGAGCGAACCCAGTCTTCACTTGTCCGTCTAGAGCGTTGACCATGTACGACCGCTTTATGGTCTTCTCGTAGCTGTCCGCCCAGAAGACCATCTCCTGCTGTGGATCGTAATCGATGGCCTCGATCCTCTTCTCCGAATTGATGACGTCGAACTCCTCGTTCTTGTTTTGGTCGAAGGCTTTTATCACCGGCCCGTTCGCGAACATCAGCACGACGTCGTCCTCGATCGCTTTGCAGACGCCGGACAAGTTGTCGGCCAACCTGCGGAAGGCACAACGTACGATTAGCATTCCGCGATGGAACCTGTCCGAGGCGCGAGCGAGCGGCGAAGCGGTCAGCTCACTGGAAGCCCTCGCGGCAGGCGCAGCTGTAGCTGCCGTTGAGGTTGTTGCAGAGGTGGCTGCAGCGGTGGGTGCCGGCCACGCACTCGTCCACGTCCACGCACTTCTTGCTGTCGCCGGCGGCGATGATGTAGCCCGGGAAGCAGGTGCAGATGTAGCCGCCCGCCGTGCCCGCGGGCGTCGTGATGTTGGTGCAGAACTGCTCGCAGCCGCCTGCGACGGGAGTGAGAGTCAGTGGCGCTGCGGAAGGAGAGGAGAAGGAGCGAGAGGAGAGGGGAGGAGAGGAGAGCGGGGCGCACCCTTGGAGCGGGCGTCGCAGGCGCGGGTGGAGTGGCAGCCCAGCTCGTCGGAGGCGTCGCCGCAGTCGTCGCGCAGGTCGCAGAGCTGGGCGCGCGCCACGCAGCGCCGGTTGGCGCACTGGAACTGCGCCAGCGGGTCGCACGGCCGCAGCCGCGACGCGCACAGCGTCATGTTGTTCTCGTCCGAGCCGTCGCCGCAGTTGTCCACGCCGTCGCACACCTGGTACCTGAGCCCCGCCCATTCGCTTTAGCTTTCACTCCAAAATAACCGGTTCTATAGCAGACAGCCGCGGATACTATCGAATTTTTAACAAGGCTCGCCTGGCCATTGTCGACCATTGTCGAACCTAGACCGAACAGCCAAGTCCGAAACAAAATTATCATTGTATTAACTCACTCGTACACTTGCCCCTTGAACCTTATACCTAAACCTATTGCGTACGCAATAGCACATTTTCTGTTATTATTACATTACGGCACTCCTACGTAGACAGACTAGCATACCTTGGCACGCAGCGATGATTGTCGCAGTGGAATCGGCGTAATGTGTCGCAGTTGAAGTTGGTGCAGATGGAGGCCGCCTCGTCCGAGCCGTCGCCGCAGTCGTCCGTCCCGTCGCACAGGTCGGACTGCGACACGCACAGGTTGTTCGCACACTGGAACCTAATATATGGTATTATTAAATTGATTGATATTTTATAGAAGAAATTAAATTGTGATCGCCGGTCTCACCTGCTCTCGGGGCAGTATCTGCCGCCGGGGTACCGCGGCGGGCACCCGATTTCGTCCGATAAATCTCTGCAGTCTCTGTCGCCGTCGCACCTGAAGTAGGCGGCGACGCAGTGGCCGGACTTGCACTGGAAGGTGCCGTTGTTGCACTTGAACCCGCCGCAGTCGGACTCGTCCGTGTTGTCGCCGCAGTCGTCCTCGTGGTCGCAGCGCCATCGCGACGAAATGCATTTGCCGTTGCCGCATTTGAACTCGGACTCGGAGCACTCCCTGTACTTGTGCTGGCAGACCGACTCGGCCTCGTCGCTGCCGTCGCCGCAGTCGTCGGTGAAGTCGCACAGCCACTGCTTCGGTATGCAGCGTTTGTTCTCGCAGGTGAAATCGGTTTCCGCGTTACAACTAGGGCAGTTCTCCGGGAGCTCATCGGACCCGTCCCTGCAGTCGTCCTTGCCGTCGCAGAACAGCCACTTGGGTATGCACCTGTAATTCGACTGTCCGGGACATCTCCGCCATCCGGTTGTGCAGTTCTTTTGGCGGCACATATACGCGGGCTCGTCGGAGTCATCGCCGCAGTCGTTGTCGAAGTCGCACATCCACAACTTGGGTATGCAGCGGCCGTTCTTGCAAGAGAATTCCGTATCCGGATTGCACGGTCTGTTGTGGCACATTGCGGGGTCTTCGTCGCTGTTGTCTTTGCAGTCCGTGTCACCGTCACACTTCCAGCTGTCCAGTATACACCTTCCGCTGGTCTTGCACTTAAATTCTAGAAGAGGACACTCGTGTAGGCACTCGGCTTCATCGCTTCCGTCACCGCAGTCGTCAGTACCATCGCATATGGTCGCTGCGGGTGTGCAATTAGTGTTTTTGCATTGGAAGGAACCGGCCCTGCAGTGCCTGACAGGGCAAGTGTCTGGCTCGTCGGAACCATCCATACAGTCTTTTTCACCGTCGCATTTCCAAAACCATGGTATGCATTTCTCGTCCCTACCGTTACATCTATGCTGACCATCTGTACAGTTAGCGATACATGTTTTCATATCTCTTGATAAGTAGAACTGGTTGGGACAGGCGCATTTGTACGTTGTCGCACCCTCTTCGCCATAGCCTTCTATGTTCAAGTAACTGGATTCGTGAGGCGGTGCAATTAAACACAAGTGAGAACAGCCACCATTATTTGTTCCACAAGGATTAGGGTAAGTTAACTGCCTCAAAGGATGCACTACGTGAATATCATAAGGACGGTGAGTAGTATTCCTTAATACAGTAAGCTTTTCTCCAGAATGTTTATTGGCTTTGCTAATAGCTTTGAGGTTCCAGTCTGTCCAATATATTTCGTCGTCGAATAAGCTCAGAGCAAACACGTGTGGTACCTTGGAGCCAGACAATACTACATGCCTATGACGGCCTTCCAAGTCCGCTGAACCGATATAATCCAAGTGAGCGTCGGCCCAGTATATTCTATCAGTAAAGTAATCGATGGTGAGTGCATTCGGCCAGGCGATATCGTCTTCCCAGTTCAATATGGCCGTGAAGTTTGAGCCGTCCATTCCGATCTTACCAATGTAGGCTTGTAGATGCCACGACGTGTAATACAAGTATCCTGTACCAGGGTGTACCACAATTGCACGCGGATCGGCTATTCCAGTCTTAAGAGTCTTTCTTCTAGTACCGTCTAATTCAGCGACGTCTAGGTTCTTTGAATGGCGGTCTAACCAGTAAATCTTCCTACCTATCCAATCAATAGCGATGCCTTCCAGCCCGTGGGAATCGTGTCTGATTACAACTTCCTTCGTCGGATTAGGATCTGAATAATCCGATCTGTATATCGTTTTCGCGGAAACATCAGCGAAGTACATCTTCTGCTCCTTGATATCGAAATCAATAGCGACGACATTCATCAAGTCTTGGTGCACCAAGTTGTATAGGGAAGCGTCAGTCGACATGTTTCGCACGTAATACTTGTTGGTGAATATAACCCATGCTGTCATGTTGTCCTTTCTCTTACACGTGCGCTCGTCGGCTTCCCTTTCGTAATATTGATCGTTACATTTACAGTAGTAGGAACCAGGAGTGTTGGAGCAGTACTGCGAACAGACACCGGGCGTTTCCACGCACTCGTCTATATCAGCGCAGGCTTTTCCATCAGCCAGCAGTTTATAGCCTTGGTTGCAGTCGCAATAATATCCGGTCAAAGTGTCAATACATTTGTGGCCGCATTGGTTGATTTCTAACTTGGCGCACTCGTCGACGTTACAATGAGCCGGCTCATCGGAGTCGTCCGAACAATCAGATACCTTGTTGCATACGAGGCGGTTATCGATGCACTGATCATTATTGCACTTAAACTGACCCGCGGGACACGTCTTATTATCCTTAACACACCCGACTTCGTCCGAGTGATCACCGCAATCATCTTCACCATCACACCTAAAGTGGTTCCTGATACACTTGAAGTTCTGGCATTTGAATTCTTGATCAGTGCACTGCTTGTATTGCGTGTTGCAGTGTTTGCCTTCGTCGGAACCGTCTCCACAGTCGTTGTCGTGATCGCAAACCCAGCCTTGGTTGATGCACCTGCCGTTGTTGCACTGGAACTGGTCCTCGGAGCAAGGTGTGGGCGTCGAGCAGTGGTGTATGGTGGAGTTTTCGTCGGTGCCGTCGATGCAGTCCGGGTCGCCGTCGCAGACCCACTTCTTGGGGATGCACTGGGCGCGGTTCCAGAACTTGTTCTCCTCGCAGGTGTACTCGGTTTCGGGGTCGCACTTCCTCTCGTTGCACTGGTGGCGGTCGTCCTCGTCGCTGTTGTCGAGGCAGTCGTTGTCCCCGTCGCAGATGTAGATGCGCGGGATGCAGTTGCCGTTGTCGCACGTGAACAGGTCCCCGAAGCAGGTGCGCCCCTCAGAGCGGCAGTACTCGGGCGGCTCGTCGGCGCCGTCGCCGCAGTCGTCGTCGCCGTCGCAGTACCAGGTGGCGGGGATGCAGCGGTGGTTGGGGCAGCGGAAGCTGTTCTGCGGGCAGGTCCTCTGCGCGCAGTGCAGCGGCTCCTCGTCAGAGTTGTCGCCGCAGTCGTTGTCGCCGTCGCACAGCCAGTATGGCTCCACGCATATGTTCGTCTTTTCACATTTCAGGTGGTTTGCGGGGCACGTGGTGTTCCTCGGGCAGCGCTCGTGCGTTTCGTCCGACGTTATGTTGTCCTTGCAGTCGTTGATTCCGTTGCAAACTTGGGTCATTGGAATGCAGCGCGAGTTGAGGCAAGTGAACTCTCCTTCGGCGCACGGCGGGTATATGCATCCCTCTTCGTCGGAACCGTCTTTGCAATCGTTCTCGTGGTCGCATTTCCACGATTTGAATATGCACCGGCCGTTGTTGCAGCGGAACTCGTTGGGCGAGCACGAGTGGTAGGCGCAGTAGTTCTTGTCCTCGTCCGAGTTGTCTCCGCAGTCGTCGTCGCCGTCGCAGGACCACATGCGGCTGATGCACTTGCCGTTGGCGCAGAAGAACTTGCTCGGATCACAGCTGATATTCTTCGCGACGCACATGCGCCCCTCGTTGACCAGTTTTGTATTGTCATCGCATTTGCATTCGACGGAATTGTTGGGAGCGGGGTGACAGCTTTGCGCACAGCCTCCATTGCTTATAAGGCACGAGTTTTTCTTACACAACTGTCTACTCGTACTGTAGATGTGTATATCTCTTGGAGAGTCTTCCAAACGCTTAACCATCTCTATCATATTGGCGCCGGTATGCTTTTCGGCACGGTATACGCCGCGTAGTTGCAAGTCGGTCCAGTAGATAAAATTCCTGAATACAGTGATAGCGAATGGATATATGGTTGCGGATATCAGAACTTCCCTCTCCGAACCGTCCATTTTCGACCTTTCGATTTTTTCTCGAACAGCGTCCGTCCAGTAAAGCATACTCTCTTCGAAATCAATTGTTAAACCGCTTGGCTGAGATAAATCTTTGTCGATAATAGCCTTTTTAAGGGATCCGGCCATTGTGGTTCTATAGATCTTACCCGAAGTTCCGAATCGTCCCCAGTCAGTGTAATAAAGAGTACCATTACAGGGATCAACGACGATCGCTCTTGGGCGTTCCACCCTGGCGATCATAACTAGCTCGGTACCGTCAAGATTCATGGCGTAGATGGAATTATTCGAACTGTCAGTCCAATAAATTTTCTTCTGGGTCCAATCGTAAGAAATTCCTTCCGGATTTATGTTTTTACTAATAATGTTTTGAATATTCGATGAGTCCGGATTCAGTGACGACATCCACGCAATTCGGGCCCACGGTCTGATTTGGGTGAAAAAGAGTTTGTTATCGGCATAATCGAATTCAACGCCAACGACATTGGTCAAATTGCCGATGGGTTTGAACGGTACCCCCGTTGATTTGGGATCTAAGTTTACGGCGCGGATTTCGGTTCTTGTCGTGAACACAAGATATTCATCCACAACGTCGCATTTCTTAGGGTTGGTTGCCGATATTTGTCCCGTTGCACACTCGCATCTATGTGTGTAACCCTTATTTGCTTCAGGTGGATAACTAAAACACAGTTGGTCACAGCCTCCGTTGCCAAGTTTTCGACAAGGATTGTTGTCATCTGTTGGCTGATTGTTCACGTCAAATATGACAATATCCCTCAATTTCGGCAGATTGGTTCTAAGTTTTTCTGGCATTGACATATTTCCTGGCAACTTGGATGCCTTATATACAGTTTGAAGATTCCTATCTACCCAGTAAACACTTCCCGTGTGAATCGCTATGCCCATAGGATTAGGAAGGTTCGACCTGATTAATTGCCTGTTGCCGCCGTTGTATGAAATCTTCTGTATTTGATCCAATTTGGAATCGACCCAGTAGACGTCGTGAGTTAACATATCAATGGTCAAATCTCTGGGGTTTGAAATGCCAGAACTAACAACAGTCTGCCAGTTGCTGCCATCGAGGTATGCCTTACCTATTCGCGGATATTGTCCGTAATCGATCCAGTAAAGAAGCCTCTTCAGCGGATTGACGGCGAGCTCTCTCGGAGCGTCCATCGTCGTCTTAACGAGTACTTTCCTATGGGAGCCATCGAGCCAGCTCATTTCAACGTAGTTCTCGTGCGGGAACACGTTTGTGAAATACAAGTTACCCGCGACCCAGTCGACCGCCAGGCCTCTGATGCCGTTGCTGCCGATTCCGTCTTTGATGATATGTTCCAGTTCGGTGCCGTTGGGCCGGACGCGGAATATACCGTTCCATTGGCCGCGGTTGAATTCGACCCAGTAGATATAGTTATCGGCGAAGTGGACGTCCACGTGCAGGATGTGGTGGCCCTGGCCGGTCACCGGCACCATCGCCTCGGCGCTGCTCTCCAAGCTGTAGCCGCGGATAAGGTCCAACTGCGAGACGACAGCGAACGTCTTGTATGGGACACAGTTGACCTCATTTTCCTTCCTATAGCCAATGGAGCAGGAGCAAATTCGGGATCCTCCTTCGCTCGGTATGCAAATCTGTTCGCAGCCGCCGTTGTTCAACGAGCAGGGATGGTGGTGCATCATCTTTCTCTTTTGGAATATTGTCAACGATTTCAGGTCGCTTTCGTTGTCGAGGATAACTTTGATGTTGTCGCCGTTAGGAAGGTCGGCCTTAACGATTTTTTCGTGTCGGGGATCCAGCACGTATAGGCGGGAGTCTAGTACAGCGATGACCTTTGGGTACGAGATGGCGTTAGCTTCGGTTAAAATTGTCTTTCTATCGTTACCCTCAGTATTCACACTATTGATGCTAGCGGGGAACTGCGTGCTGAAGTACACGATTTTCTTTTCCACATCAATCGCTACAGCTTCTGGTCTTTCTATGACGTCAACCAAAATAACGGGATTCGTTCCGTCCATATTCACTTTGCCGATTTTCGCGGGTACTCCATACCCCCCTTCGTCGGACCAATATATTTTTCTGGAAATATTAAAATTATTAACGTCAGTAAAAACCAAAGCTAAGAAAGTAGAAAAGTAAGAAAAAAATGTTCTGGATGATTTATTTTCAGGAATACTTTACAAATATGTCGATAACGATATGACTTACCCTTCCGTTGGATCTAAACATATGCCCCGTGGTCTCGCAATGGACGGCTTGCTACCATCGTTGGCGAAAACAATGGTCCTATATTTAACTTTGCCGTCCACGCGTATGAGCTCGATGTTGCTCGCGGCTCTGTTCGTCATGAACAAGTTCCTTCCGAGCCAGTCGAACGCAATGGCGGAAGGCGCCCCAACGATGCCCGTGTCCTGTCCGAAGAATTCGACTTTATTGCCACCGCCATAAGGCATACTGTAGATCGTGCAGTTCTCGTCGTCGTCGCTATCGCCAGTTATGGACTGGAGCCAGTACAGCATGTGGCCTTGGCGGTCGTAGTCCAGTTGTACGCCACCTGGGAAAACGGAATTAGTGTTTTGATTACTCAAGTTCAGATTCAATAGAGTTAAGTGTAATACTTGAAATGAATACTCTGTTTGATATGAAATATTATTGCCATGTCTTACCTTGGATTCCTACAACTGGCGAAAGTTGTCCCGCTCTACCGGAACCGTCAGTGGAGACATCAATAATTTGAGATCCCTTAAGAACCATCAAGTATGCGGATTCCTCTGCAAGAAGGAAATAAGTTACATTATTATGAATCATACATTCCAAACATACGAGATCTATCAAGGAATTAGTAAAAGCAATTCCCACCTTCAATGCATTTTCCGTCAGGCAGCAATTTGAATCCAGGCTTGCATATGCAAGTATGTGGGGCCGTTTCGTTCGGACTGAGTAGGCACAGGTGCTCACACGTGTTTCCTTTGCACGGCGATGGGTATTGCGGCTGAAGCGATGGGTGGTGGACGTGAATAGAGAGCGGCTGTGAGATCAGATGCGAGACAACCGTCTGGTTCGTTCCCTTGAATTTGTGAGCAGAGAGAACTCTATTCAACTGGCGGTCCGTCCAATATAGCGTGTCTTCGAAGAGCGTCAACGAATGCGGGTGCAGTAAGTAGTGACTGCCCGCCAGAACTTGCTGTCTTCCCGTTCCGTTGTAATAGCAGAAATCGATGAAGTCCAACTTGGAGTCGGCGAAGTACACTCTCTGAGTCGCGGTATCCAAAGTCAATCCATTGGGCCAATATATCTTGGTCGTAATGATGGCCAACCTTTGTGTGCCGTCCATGCCGACTCTCTCGATCCGAGGGTTCTCGCCCCAGTCGGTCCAGAATAACCATTTAGCAGTTGGCGCCGGGTCCAGGCACATTCCTCTGGGCTGCGTGATATTTCCACTCAGCAAGGTCGTCCTTGCGCTGCCATCTTCCTTGGCCACCTCGATAGTGTTCAGTTTACTGTCCAACCAGTAGATATTTCCACCGACCCAATCATATGCCAAGCCCTCGACTAGGTCCAACCCGGTGGATATGATCACCTGAGGCTCGCTACCGCGGTCCAACCGTGATATTTTCTTAAGTTTCATGTCGGACCAAAAGATCGTTCCGGTGTGCATGTTGGAGGCCGTTGCGACAACATTCTCCACGTTTATCGGTACTCTTTCCAGGCCTTGCTCGTTAAGGTCGGCGACCAGTATCGAATGCCGGTTGGAAATGATAAGGAACGCGCTGGAATGGTTGTTGGCTTTGCAGGAATGCTTATCCGTGTTGAGCTGGTAGCCTTCGACGCAACTGCAGAAGTAGGAGCCCTTGGTGTTGGTGCAGGATTGGGAGCAGAGACCGGGCGGTTCGCACTCGTTCATGTCCTTGCACGTGAAGCCGTCGGCGTCCAACTCCTCGCCCACCGGGCAGAGGCAGAGGGGACCGTTGGGCGTTTGCTTGCAGCCGTTGGAACAGAGACCGCTTTGGTGTTCGCATTCCGCAAAGTCACAACTTGCACCTACATTTATAAGTTAACGTTTAAGTGAAATGAAGGAAGTCTGAAATCGAACGATGAAATATTATAATAAAAGGCGAAACATACCTTCGTCGGCTCCATTCGGGCAATCGAACTTGTTGTCGCATACTTGCGTGAGATTTACACAGCGACCTGTGATCCCTGGACACGACCATTGACCAGAGAGGCACCTAAAAGTATCGGTACGATTACTCGACTGACGTTTTGATAGTCAACGTTCGGCCTTGACAGATTTGTAAGATTTACTTAGTCTTAGTTAGTTTTAATATGTTATTCTAGAAAAAGAACATCTTATGACGACTGAAGTGCCGCCCTTTATAAGGGTCATTGAACGTATTAAGGGGTAGTTGAGTGGTGAATTTGAAGTGTGAATTTGAGCAAAAGAAAGTGAAGAAAAGTAAAAGAGAGAAGAGGTTAAGAAGTGGAAGTGGGAAGACTTCGTAAAGCTGTGTAACAGACGCATAATATAGCGGAAGGCGGAAGGAGCAAAGCACCTGGGCGGGGGCGGGGCGCAGGCGTGGCGCTGCCCCTCGTCGGAGCCGTCGCCGCAGTCGTCGCGGCCGTCGCACACGGCCGCCTTGAAGACGCAGCGGCCGTTGGCGCAGCGGAAGTGGTGCGCGCCGCACGCCACGGCGCCGCACGCCGCCGGCTCGTCCGACAGGTCCTCGCAGTCGGGCGTGCCTGCGACCGTCCCTCTCACTCTCTCTCGCCTCTCTGTCGCGCGGACGGGCCTAGTACCGCGACTTCACAGGCCAGTTATACTTGTGCGTTCCATCTAGTCGACGTAGCCGAGGCCCGCTGTCATTGCAAATGTGTATGGGCGGCGGCCATCACTTAGCATCGGGTGAACGGCCGGCTGGTTTTGCAATTTGTCGCATAAAAAACCCCTATTCATTGGACAACTCCTCTTAGCTTCGCTGATCACTCACGCGTCTCGTTCGAGCCACAAATACCACACTGCTGATCTTGTGTTGTACACGAGCCAAAAATTTGGATGGAAGCAATCTTTAAAAATTTTTAGTCAATTTCTGAACTAAGCATCGTATTCAAACTTTTCTTCACTGATTTACAACTCTTTGTATATTCATATTTAAGTTGACGATTTCATTAATCTTGAACAACATGAATTTATAATACGCCTGTCTACCACGATTTTCGAAAAAATAACCCATTTCCATTAAGCCTTCGGTAAGGTGCATCATAATTTACTTCTTAAAATAGTATATGATACTGGCATCCGTGACATCTTAAATTATGCTATCTCATTAAAAAAAATTGTATATTAAAACGACGCTGACGATCTCAAAATTTATAAGACATGCCAAACTTTGGAAGATTGCGTACGTTTTCGGGTCATAAAAGTTGTAATACATATTGTCCTTTTTGATTGTTTTGATTTGTTTTACGTTCTTCCAACGACTTTAAGTGTCCTTTTACTTTTCTACTTTAATATTAAACCTTGCGTTATTTTCAGTTAGAATTTGCTGTACCAATATAAAGTCCCTTCTATTGAAAAATATTTCAAAAACAAATGCTTTCCTATTATACTCTTATTACTGCCACTTATCAGTTTGTTTATAGTAGGAAACACTCAAATTATGTAATAATATATATGTGACGCATTAAACAGATCAACATATTCGCACGTACGTACTCGTACACTTAGGTATCATATGAGATCATAGTGAGACAGTCTGTCGCCCACTACGGGGCCAGAAAAGGAAGGGCACCCACCGTCGCAGTACCAGGTGCGCGGGATGCAGATGCCGGAGGAGCGGCACTGCACCTGCTTGTCGGGCGCGCACTGGTGCGGCGCCAGCGCGGGGCAGCCCGCCTCGTCGCTGCCGTCGTTGCAGTCCGGGATGCCGTCGCACTTGTACGCCTCCTGCGCCGCCAGAGGTCGCTCAGTCGCGTCGGGGAGTGGTTCAAAATTATAAGGCTCGATTCGTAGGTCTTCGTGCATCAGCGGAAGCTATTGCATCGTCGTCAAAGCTCACCGTCGGAGGTGAGAGCGGTGGAGACGTGCTCATGCGCAGTACCGAGGGACGTCGGTGCGTTCTGTAGGAGATGCCGGAGCTCCTCCGAATGTACAGAAGGTGGACTTTCAAATCTCTTGAAGATTTCCCCCCGATACAAAGAAAAGGAGGCAGACCGCACCTGCACGCACTGCTTGAGGTCGGCGCACTTGAACTGGCTGGCGAGGCAGGAGACGGGCGGGCAGTCGGCCTCGTCCTGCTTGTCGAAGCAGTCGTCGTCGCCGTCGCACACCCACGAGGCGGGGATGCAGTGGCCGGTGCGCGGGCACGTGAACTGCAAGGGGCGGCGCGTGAGTAAGCGGTGGGAGGGGCGGTGGGGCGGTAGGGGCGGAGGGGCGGGGCGCACCTGGAAGTAGGCGCAGGTCTTCTCGGCGCAGTGCGCGCCCTCGTCGGAGCCGTCGCCGCAGTCGTTCTCCGAGTCGCACTTCCAGGTGGCGGGCACGCAGCGGCCGTTGTCGCACTGGAACTGCGAGGCGCCGCAGGTGGCGTTCACGCAGCCCGTCTCGTCCGAGAAGTCGCCGCAGTCGTTCTCCGAGTCGCACACGAACGTGGCCGGCACGCAGCGCCCCGACTTGCACATGAACTCCGACGCGCCGCACGTCGTCTCTGCGGGCGTGCGAGGCTTTTACGATCGCAGGAGAAGCACAGAGGCTCTAGATGTCCTTGAAGCACGACCAAAGCTAGCACGAGATAATCTGTTGACCTTCTTTATACAAACACCCAATGAAGGAAGTACAGTTAGTGAGTCCTAATTTACGCAGCCTGTGACATCCCAGAAAGTGGTGGGTCAGCTTGTCGCTTAGTCGTAAAGAAAATAGATAAAAATAGGACTTAAGAAATAATCCATATAACAAAATACGACAACGACGTGAGAAATACGGTAATAGCAAAAATAAAAAATTGAAAATACTCACTGGTGCAGTTTTGCTCCTCGTCGCTGTTGTCCAAGCAGTCGTCGTCGCCGTCGCACACCCAGCTCTTGGGGATGCAGCGCTGGTTGTTGCAGGTGAAGTCCCAGGAGTTGGGGCAGGCCTGCAGCGGCGGCTCGGCGCTCGGGTCAGCCACGCAGCTGGTGCTGTCCGCCGCCAGCTTCTCCCCGTACGGGCAGCCGCACTTCACCGTCAGCAGCTCCGTGTTGTTCCTGGGCACGGCGAAGCACAGCTTCTGGCAGTTGCCGTTGTTGCGGGCGCACGGCTGCATCGGGTCGATCTTCTGCACGTGCTCGCTATAGACCTTCACGCCGTAGAGGCGGTTCGTCTGCGGCTCCCTGACCATTATGTCCTCCTGTTCACCGGTCAGCTTGTGCAACCGAACGATGGCGTCGAGCCTCCAGTCGGTTATGTACATGAACTCCTTGTGGATGACGATGGAGAACGGATGCCTTATCAGACGGGAATTGATGGTGTTCACGTCGGTGCCGTCCAGTTTCGAGTGCTGCACGTGGTCAAGTAGAGCGTCGCACCAATAGAGCCTGTCTGCGTCGAAGTCGATCGACAGTCCGTTGGGCCAGCCCAACGTGACGTTCTCGAAGACCAGTAGACCGGTTCCGTCGGTGTTCGCTCGGCTGATGTTGGCCGGACGGTCCCATTCCGAAAAAAAGATGAACCCCTTGTTCGGATGGACGACGATAGCGCGTGGTCGTTTCAGATCCTTCAGTAGAGTCCTTTTGTAACTCACATTCCTTGTCGATAACACATTCAGAGTTCCTTTCCTGGAATCGATGTAGTACAGATTCTTCGAGGCCCAGTCCACAGCTAGGCCCTCGACGCCCTCGTTCTGTGATGCTAAGACTATTTCTTTGGTTGTACCGTTCCTGTGAACCCTGTAGATTACGTCTTGTAAAACGTCCGAGTAGTAAATGTGTTCATCGCGTGCATCAAAGTCGAGACCGACGAATCGGGCGCGTCTCGAGACTATGGGCAGGATCGCTTCGCTGAAGCCCTCAATCACGGGATTGAGAACTTTCCCTTTGATGAATCTCTGCTGGGAATACATCAGGAACTCGTTGACGAGGTCGCAGTTTCTCAAATCGGTTTCCAGTCTGTAGCCAATGTTACACGCACAGCGATAACCTAAGCCCCCATTCGGTAGCGCAGTGACGATGCACATCTGCGAGCAGCCGCCGTTGGTGTTGCCGCAAGGATTGTTCACGGACGTTTGCTTCAACGAATGCACCACTGTGACGGCTTTCGGGCTGATAATGTCCTTCATTTTGTATATCGCCTGTATGCTGCTGGCTCCCTCGTACTTGCTCACAGAGCTGATGCCTTGCTTGGTGCTATCCGACCAGAAGACTCGGTCTTCGAATAGGGCCAGTCTGGATGGACTCGGCACTTGTTGACCTCTGATGACGAGAAATCTGTGGTTTCCGTCGTAGTCGACTGTTTCAATGTAATCGAGGAGAGAGTCACACCAAAATATTCTTCTTGCAATTGTGTCTACCGCTATTCCCGACGCCTTATACGTTGCCTCTGATACTATTGATCTGGCGTGAGTTCCGTCCATGTTTGCACGAATGATCTAAAATAAAGTATTTATTAATTTCATCGATCGATCTGGGAATGTTATTATTATGTTAAAATTTACATCTTTCGAGAGAAGAACACATGACGACATTTATGTAAGGTATTATAACACTATTTTGTTCGTCTTCTCTTCTTCTTCCCCCTTTCTTCTCAACTTTCAACACAGCAGCACTTGGATATAATGTCTGTCTGTTCTTTAAGGCTCGCCACGATTTCGTCCATTGTTTGATTCGTGAACATGGTGTAAAGAAATCAGTTAGTGGCAGTCTAGCGACATATTAAAGTGGTGGTGGTGGCTACCTGGCTGCTGTCGGCGATGAACATGAGGCCGAGCGTGGGGTCGAGCGCCAGGTCGCTGGGGCTGGAGAGGTTGGAGGCCAAGGCCACGGCGTGCCAGCGGCCGTCCAGCTCGAACACGTCCACCTTCTGGCCGAGCGAGTCGGCCACGTACAGCTTGTCGCCCACCCAGTCCACAGCCAGCGCCACCGGCGCCCACGAGCCCGCCAGCGAGATGTCCGCGCCGTACGCCGTGCTGATGCCGGCCGGCGCGTTCAGCGGCTGCGAGTGGATCTGGCGGCCGGCGGTGGAGGGGTTAGGTCGACCTGCGGCTTTACCTCACTATCCGCGCGACTCAGGAGGTATCTGTTCGCATGGCAAGGGGGGCTCTTCCACGTATGTGCCGGTGAGATGGCCCAACGTGCGCTTGGGCAGTGCCCAGCCTGGATCGTGGGGCACGACCTCTCGCTGCCGGCCGTGGTTCGCGCTATGGTTAACAGCGAGAGGGCGTGGGTTGCTATCCTGGTATATTGTGCGAACGTTGTCACCCGAAAGGAGGCCGCGTAAAAATCAAGGGAGGCAACTGCAGCACTGGATTTCCGCCACCGGAGACCAGGGCGCAGTAGGTTACGTGCGCAACCTTCCTCCCTGATAGTGAGATCTCGGGCGGCAGGCATGGGGGTGCCCGTCGCTCTATATGGGACTCGTGGAGGGTGAAGGGGGACCGAAAGCGGCTCACCTTGCGGGTCTTGAGGTCGGACCAGTAGAGCATGTTGCGGCGGTAGTGGAAGTCGATGCCGGCGGCGCCCGTGGCGTTGGCCAGCAGCAGCGGCGGCGGCGGCGCGGCCGGCCCGTGCGAGAGCGCGTCCAGCCGCAGGAGGCCGCGCGCGTGCGCCAGCGCCAGCCAGGCGCCGGCGCCGCGCGCCTCGCACCGCCCCGACCCCTCCAGCTGGTAGCCGGGCGCGCACGCGCACGAGTACGCTGCACACACGACCGCTCCATGTAGCTCAATACGAGAAGCGGGTTAAGGATCCTATGGGTGGGGTCCCATCGTGCGCCGACTCACATCCGGGGGTGTTGACGCAGAGCTGGTGGCAGGGCCCCCAGTCGTGGCACTCGTCGCGGTCGGCGCAGGAGCGGCCGTCGGCGGCCAGCGCCAGGCCGGCCGCGCACGAGCACGCGCCCCCGTTCGGCGACGCCACGCACTTGTACTCGCACTCCAGCGCCGGGCACGAGGACGTCGCTGCGGAAGCGCGGGGCGTCAGGCGCGATACGATTCTTTATCGTTTCACGCGATCACGCGGTTCGATTTGAAACACGTGGCGGCTTCAACGCAATAAGGCTAAAGAATTGGTGACACGTGAAGATTATCCATTTAAACGACTTTCGTTTAATAAAAAAAATCACAATTGAGGAAGAAATGGACGCGTATGTATGAACAGTAAAAATCTTGAAATCGAATAAGTCCTACCGCAGGGCACAAGCTTCCCCAGTACAGAGAGTAAAAATCTTGAAGTTGTATAATAACTATTCTGTTTTAAAGAATTGCAAACGAGTAAGCCATTAATATGGTTATCAGTAATCTTCATCCAACGGAAATGCATGAAAGTGTTGCAAGTTTATAAAAACTTGCCTTGGTAGCCGAAGGGTTTATTCATTGAACCATATGATAAGAAATGCATGAAAGTGTCGCGAACTTTTCAGAACTTGCCCTGGTAGCTGAAGGGCTATCTGTAGGACAGCCTATCTAGGGATCTAGTGGGGGGTGAGGGACCATCTGGGAGACAGCCTATCTAGAGGATCGAGTGGGGGGTGTGAGGGGCTATATATAAGATAGCCTATGTAGAAGATGTAGTGGGGGGTGGGGGGTGGGGGTGCTCACAGCAGGCGGACTCCTCGTCGGCGCCGTCCTCGCAGTCGCGCTTGCCGTCGCAGAGGCGGGAGCGCGCGATGCACTTGTGCAGGCCGCCGGGCGCGCCGCGCGGGCACAGGTACTTATTGTCGGGGCACGCGATGGCCGTGCAGTTGGCCTCGTCCGAGCCGTCGCCGCAGTCGCGGTACCCGTCGCACTGGTACGTGGCGGGGATGCACAGCGCGTTGCTGCAGCGGAACTGCCCGATGTGGCACGGCGGGAAGCCTGGGGGGCAAGCGTCGCAACTGATGCTGCACACACTCCCTACTTGGCCCTACCACGTTAATTTCCCTCGCACTTAGCTCAGAAGTGCTTTTACACGATGTGAACGAATTACAATACATAAATATATTGGCTGATAAAGACTTTCTTCTTTCAAAATTGTTGATCAATATTTAATTGAGTCAGCAAATCGAAGACTTGCTAAAAACTAATGGGATTACGATATAGTTGTACCAATATCGTGGCCCGTCTAAGCCGACGTGCCTCTTTTGAACCACCATCAATTAAGTTATATCTCTGAATGAAGATAGGATTTGAGCTTACTGCAATGCGCCTCGTCAGAGTTGTCGCCACAGTCGTCAGTGTGGTCACACTTGACGGAAGCGTCCACGCACTTCTCCCCGTTGGCGCAGCGGAACTGGTCCAGGCGGCAGGACAGCGTCTGCCCGGGACAATCCTGCTCATCCTTGCCCGTCCGGCAGTCCAGGTATCTGGAGTTCAGTAAACAGCATTGAAGCCTTTCACTACTAATTACTTGGAGACGCTAATCTATCTATCCAGTTATAAAATAATAAAATTTATTTTTTATCACTATTTGGTGTAAAATTATAAAAACTACGTGAGACAGATAAGCTAGGTTATTACACACGTTTAAGTAGAAAATACTGTTATTTTTATGTTTAGTAATAATGTGCTAGCTAATTACTCTTATAATGCGTGAAACGATTTACCATTTTTTTTATACGCGGGTATTTCATTAAAAATGTGGGCTCTTTATTTCGTAGTTTGGCGGGAATTCATACGATGTTTTTGTATAACAATAAAGCTAGCATTCCGGGTTCGGCATTCGATATTTTTCTTCAGTAATCATTACTTTAGTATATAAATATCTATTTCATGTATTTCGAATGATTATGCATAGATTCCATTCGCAATTTTTTTTTTCTGTAACTTCTTGTGTCGTAGATTTTTTTGGTTGACAATAAATGGTTAAAGTTGAATAGCATTTTATTAATTTAATTTTGTAATGTTTGGAGTTTATTAGGTTTTGTTTAGGCGGCACGACCCCCGAATTCGATGAGATTGATATAATAAATGCAGTTTACTAAATCTTTATAAATCGTGAGTGGTAATTTACGTGGAAATCATCGAAATGTTGGCGCTGGCAACACTGTATACCGGATATGACGTTATCCACTCGAGCCAAGGGACACATGGTCGCATGGAGCAGCGGTCACTGGGATTTCGGCTGCGTTCCCGGACGGTGATATAACCACTAGAGCTGCTTGTCGTTATAATAGTTGTTAATATTCAAGTTCAGTAATAGTTAAAATATTATGATCAAGGTAAAAACGTTAGAACTCTTATAGAACTTACTTCGAAATTACTTTTCACAAGTTCCATTGCAGGTTAGTTTTTGAATTAGGAGCCTACGACTAAAACAAGGTATTTTTCACACTTTTTGCATTAAACAGAACATGAATTTTAGAGTTGTATTAACAGAGGGAACGGAGGTATTGGTTGATTTTTTGCATTAAATTAGAACTAGAAGTTTTAGAGGTAATAATTGTTAGTAAGTGGTATTGGAACTTATACTAGTTATATAATGTATTAAGATCATCTAGGGTTTGTGAAACGAATTTATTCATTGGTGAAACAAATTAGAACAAAACAGCTCTGCGTATAAAGTAGTAAGTTATATGACAAACTTTGATTATATACTTGACAAGTATAAAGTAGTAACTTATGTGACAAACTTTGATTATGTACTTGACAAGTATATTATCAAAGGTGACATATATAAAGGAGCCAATAATTTAACCTTGAGGCATTCCACACATTACAGAAATTGTTACTCTGTGTGCGAGGGAGGTATTACTAACGGTGTCAAAAAAATTTTAAAATCTATAAAAATCATAATTTTTAAATCTATAAAAAAATTTCTTTTATTTTATTTTATTAAGGCATACAAACAAATGTACAAAAATATATATAAACATTAACATATTACACATACAAACAGATAAGTATATGTACATTCAACACCGTATACCCAAAGTAATGTATATAATGCAGAAGGTAGCGAGATTAGATTATACATGTTATTTTGATTTATTATACATTTAAATATTTAGTAACATTTTTTTTTAAATGAGAAGTCGTAGTAGCAAAAATATCCATACTTGTGAAGTTGTCGTTGCATGATTGCACTATGCGTTGCATCGGCGAGCGTAAACCGGCGTTAGTTCGACATTTATTTACATTGAATAATTTATGAGAGTATTTTAGACGAATGCGCTGAGAACAACTAGGGATGCGATAAAACAAATTATTATTAAGAGGGATGCAATCTATAAGGTTATGACAGATTTTGTATAAGTATAACGCATCACTTAAAATTCTTCTTTTGTTCAAAGGCAGAAGTGAAAACCTATCTTAAGCTTGGGAGTAGGAAAAAAGAGAGTTGCTGCGGCGGTAGCATCTGTAGTAAACCGTTTTTAAGAATTTTCGTTGAATACGTTCAATCTGATTACTATACCTTTCATAAAATGGGTTCCAAACTATTGAGGCATACTCTAGGATTGGTCTAATCAAGGAGTTGAATAAATAAATATATGATAATTGTCGCCTAAAAACGTTTGTTTGTCTTATTACAAAACCGAGCGCGCGAAATGCTTTGTCGGTGATATGATCCACGTGATAAACCGAAGTGAAGTTTCGAGTCTAATATAACACCTAAATCCTTGATCGATTCAATGCCATATTCAGTCAATATTATTTATGTTGTAATGAAAATTAACTACATTACGTTTTTTTGTAAATGTTATGCTATTACATTTGTTAATACTCAATTGAAGTTTATTTTTGACACAGTAGGCAGATAAGCGGTTAAGATCATTTTGTAACTTATGACAGTCATCTACGCTGAGTATAGGTAAGTAAACTTTTAGGTCGTCTGCGTATAGGAGAAAGTTGCTGTGATGAAAACAAGTGTTGATATCATTAATGTATAGAATAAACAAAAAGGGACCAAGGATTGAGCCCTGAGGTACTCCAGACGTAACGGTAGTAAGGTGTGACATATAGCCATTTACTACTATTTTTTGCGTTCGGTTAGATAGTGACGCGGTACCAACCGATACTGTGTAACGTTACTATTCACACAAGCGATGCACTCTTATTAGTAGTTGAAGAAATACGATGCTATTTTATTTCGGCCGGGTAATAATCGTCAGCTGAGGAGCTACGTACGTCAACTCGCTACGCGTTCGCAAGACGGAATGAAAAAAAAAAGAAGGAAAAAAAATGAATTTAAAACTAATCTAAATTTTTATGGTGTAAGCATATCAAAATATTAAGCAGTACCGTTTTTCAAATGACAAGTTGTTTTATGAAGATTACGTTCTTTGGTTTTTATGTCGCCACAACAGACAACAAGTCTTAACAGGTCACCACTTCACAAAGACTTCAAGAAATCAGTTCCAGAGCTTAACTTTTTTTTTTATGTGAAAAGTTGCCAAACGAGCAGACGGTTCACCTGATGTTAAGTAAATACCGCCGCCCATGGACATCTGCTACACTCGAGGGTTCCAGATGTGTTGAGAACCTTTTGGAAATCGGGCTCCGGCCACCTCACTCTCCCGACGAAACGCGAAAGTATTATACTTCCACTTTACGCCGGTCTTCTATGAGGTCGTGGTACTTACCCGCACGAGCCTGCCCATTCGTGCAACAGCCGAGGCTGCTGCGTGGCCCTACCACCGTTAGAAAACTTGAGCTGAGCAACGAATTTTACAGCATAAAATGGATTCGGTAGTGTACTTTACCCGTCACATTTCTTCTCCTTGGGTATGCAGAGGCCCTGAGAGGCGAGCTTGCTGGAGCTCGTGCTCTCGGCGCCGCATTGGAAGTCATCAGTCTGGCACTTGCGGTATGCTGCAAGTGATAAAAATCGTCACATCGCTATTGAAAGTAAAAATTGAAAGAGTTTCGTAATTATTTCAACGATTGTTTGATTTTCCAATGCAAACGGCTCAAAGCGTTCACCGTTTGCGCTTCTGTTATTAACGTATGTCAGGATCCATGTTATTAAATTATGAGAGTACGATGCGCCTGTGCACCGACGGTCAAAAAGCGACATAATGAAGTTGGTTGCAAAGCGGCCGTCTTCGACTAACTTCACGGTATTAACATGACAACCGATGACAACTTTTTTCTTCTTCTTCTTTTTATTAATGGCTTGCTTTGTGAGTTATCACAATTACGCCAATGTCAAGTTGTTCTTAAAATTCTCAATTTTATAATATTCACATTAAAATTGTAATAGGCAAATAAAAACTTCAAAAATCCATCATGGTGGATCGTTTTCCATCCACAACTTTTTTCCATCGGTTGCCATGTCTGTGACATTGACATATAATTCCGTTATCGATTGCATTTATTGTCTTTTTCACAAACAAAGAGTACTGGCACATGGGATAAAATTTTTCGTTATTTTTTTGTTTTGCGTCAAAAAAGTATAACTTCTAATGTGTACTGAAGATGAAACATTAAATTTGTGAAAAAAATGGACGAAAATTTTTTTGTATTTGCGGGAATTGAACACACATCTTTCAGGTTCGCGCCCAGACGCTTTAACCTTAACGCAGCGGCGAAAAGCTTTTCGTTAATTCTTTCTACAAATTTTAATGACATATTAGTATGTTAAATCGAAATACAAATAAAATTTTCATTTCCGCTCTCCAATGCACTCGTATCAACGAAACAAATTCTCGAAGCCAACGCCAACTTGGCCATTACAAAAACCGAAGCGCTGCGAACTAGCATTTTGCAGTTCTATCTTGTTTGTAAATCGCCGCCCGCAACTTTTTTCGGTCCGCGGTAAGTACGGGCTCAGATAATGCAATCTCCATACAGATTCGATGGAGTGCCTTTGAGCGGGGCTTAGCGGTGGCCCAAAGCCGCTGCCTTTGCCTCGGCTCAAATAAATTTTAAAGCAACCGACAGCGGGGACGGGATCTCGGGAAATGAGTTCCCTCGAAGGAAATTAACGTGTTGCTGCAAGCTGCACGAGCGCGCCGAATGACGGTGTTTGTTAACGTTCCGAAAAGAAAATTGTGCAAAAGTTCATTTGAACGAAGATTGATTTTAAATTAAATACACATTGCGGCGTGGATGTGTAGTAGTGAAACAGAAAGTCATCTTTCACGTCTCTAAAGTCATTCACTTTATGTTTATCGAGAGACCCCAGTTTCTTTATACTGTTCGAGTTTCCCGTATAAGGAAATATATTTACCATCAACACTTTTGAAATGAAGTAAAAATATTTTAGGTAACAACGCTTTGCAAGCAAGTTTATAAAAACCGGCCAAGTGCGAGTCCGACTCGCGCACGAAGGGTTCCGTACCATTATCTATAAAACAGCAAAAAAATCAAGTCTGCTGTATGGGAGCCCCACTGAAATATTTTTGATCCTGTTTTTTAGTATTTGTTGTTATAGCGGCAACAGAAATACATCATCTGTGAAAATTTCAACTGTCTGACTATCACGGTTCATGAGATACAGCCTGGTGACAGACAGACAGCGGAGTATTAGTAATAGGGTCCCGTTTGTCTTTTGGTACGTAACCCTAAAAAGGTCTTTGGCATATAACGCGTCCGTAGCAACTTTTAAATGGGTAAACTCGCCGCATTTAAGAAGACGCTGAATATTAAACTTTTAGGTGCATCTCCGGACCGTATATTGGTTCGCCCGTCTTAATGGCGGATTCCATTCACTTTTATGGATGTTCGGGAGAGCCGAATAGGTGTTTAGGAGATCGTAACCGCGCAGCTTTGAGCGCGCCCGCGATAAACTCGAACGGCGTCGGAAGAAAATCGCACAGCCGAATATCTGTTTTACATAAACACGGCGTTAGTTTGAACACTCTTATTGGGTTCTCGGGTAGACAGCGCGCCGTTCTAGATACTGGGTCCTCTTAAAAGGATAGTTTTTCGAACTGTCGGCGGATACAGATGCATTTTCGAAATCGAAGCTTTAGAGTACATTTGCACGTCGACATTAGACTGCACATAAATTGGAAACCGAGATATATTCGTGGTTAAGAAAATCAATTTATCGAAAGCATGAAAAGGGTTTAAATATATGTTTGAATTAACAGCAGTCAGATGGCTTAGTTTTTACAATAAATGCATCCAAATCAATAATTGCAATTTGAATCATATCATTACCTTGAAAATTCACGTTCAAACTTCCCTCTGATCGAGGTCTGTCTACTGTATTTCTTTAAAAGTATCTTCTTATATTTTAGTAGGACACAATGTTAACCTACAAAGAAGTCTTTATTTGTGTACTGTGCAAAGAGTTTGCTGAAGCCTTTGGTATTACGGGTCTGTTATTGCTCTTTCAGTTATTGCTACACAGTTTGAAATGTCGTCCCCGTTTTTAAAATGTTATCGACTATATTTTCTTGGAATCTCTATTACTGTCATTTATTAATAAAGAATATCAGAAGCCTTTACTATTGGCTGTAATAAAGACATCTGTGTTAGCCCTTTCATTTATTGCTTCACATAATTGTCATTTAATAATGAAGGATATCATATCATCCATGACGTTTCATCATGACGAGCTAAAGGCGTGATAGCTCAGTGTCCGGGCGCTCGCCTTTAATTCAATATACTCGAGCAACCTGAGTTCGATCCCCGGCGCCGGCACCAATGAAGTTTTTAACTTTAAGTGCTGACTTATCACGTGCTCCGCGGTGAAGGAAAACATCGTGAGGAAACCTGCATATTTTCGAATTATAATAATTAATAATAATAAAAAATATATTTTTCGAGGATATGTGAAGTCTGCCAATCCGCAGTGAGGCCGCGTGGGAGACTATGCTCTTATACCATCTGTATAGAGGAGGCCTTTGCCCAGCAGTGGGACACGTATAGGCTGTTACTTTACTTTTTTATGACGTTTAAGTATGACAAACCGAGGCTAAAAAAGTCCGAAGAGCAAAATATCTGATGGTATATGCAATGATATACAATATCATGCAACTTCCAAACAAAGTCAGCGAAACACTGTTCGCCAATATAAATTCTTCCGTTCAATCCTTTGACGTGCAGCGCGTCTTGGTCTTCGTGAAACATCCTGGGGATTTGTTGGCAACCTTAAACTATTCTGGAATAACTTTTATTTCCTCCTGCCATTTTTCAGGTATAACAACTCTATTGTTTAATCGACGACCATTCTTGTGTTTGTCCAATCGTAGTTGTTATATAAAAATGAATCTTTACAGCACGTAACACCTAAGTTTCCTCGTCCTTTCTAGTAACTAGTATATAATGTAAATTATATTAATATATAAAAGTTTATGAGAAAAAAACTCAACTTTAAACATACTGGGATACAGTATGGCAAAAGATGTTTTTAACAGAAATTAACAAACTAAGTAAATTTTACACGCATTTTACAAAAATAAAGGCTTTACAGGCAATGGTAGTGACGTGGAGTGGCTCAAAGGGCTGCTATACATCCAATGTAGGGTACTGGCAGTGTGCTGTTGGCCGGCAAAGTGCTGTCTACATTCGCCGGGGCCATCGAGTGTTTATTGAAAACGACCACCGTAAATAGCTCGAAGCCCGAGTGACCTCAACCCTATTGGTAGCAATAAACATCTGGTACTAATTACTGCTTAGAGATTAATGTTTACCTCATTAGTTAATGAGTCATGTGTAGGGCATCGAGGAAAGCTCGTGCATTCCTCTATAGGATAACATTATCCTGTGATGTAAGGCCGTATTACGAAACGACTATCTGTGTCACACAAATAATTGTCCCATGTGGGAATCGAGAACCCACGACCTCAGACGCCGAAGCCAACACCTTGGCAACTTGCGCCACGGAGTCACATCTAATGCAACAGCAATAAAAGATTCTGGATTTGCTTCGTATGGCGAGAGAAAAAAGAACCATGCAAAATAAGTATGTAAGCCGGTTTATGAAGGAAGCTATTGATCTTGTATTTGGAGATTTTGTATTTTTGGATTAAGAGATATGATTCCATTATTTATTGAATCAATCACAACACTTCTTGAGTAAGTTCTCCTTTTAGAGGGATTTTCTTTGCAAGAAAATGCAATAAATCGCAGTTAATTAAGAAATAATGATATGTATCCTTTATATATTGTTTGCCATTTATAATAGGGTATTAATGATTGCACAGATGGCGTAGTGGTTTAAATGGCCCCTGAGCAAATGAAATTGCGCGCCGCATTGTGGTTACCCACAAGGGACACGAGAATATTATTTGCTTTTTCCACAAATATTAGTCTTATCTTTGAGTGGATTTTACGGTCGTGATTTATGTTCGAATCGCTTTCAAAGCAAAAACCCAAAAAAATATATTCCTGGTCTTGTAAATTCAAGGGCTACAAAGCGACTTCTGATCTGAACATCTACAGATGTTGAATGTCTACGGGCTACGATTATAACTAAACATCAGTTTTAACACCTGTTTTAAAGTAAGTTAAGTATGAGCATATATATATCCCACTACTAGGCGAAGGCCTCCTCTGTACATGGGGTATGGGGGCATAGTCTACCATGCGACCCCACTGCGGTTTGGCAGACTTCGGGTCTTCGAAATATTTCCTTATTTTTCGTTCGTTCCTTATTTTTTCGAAAATATTCAGGTTACCACACGATTTCTTTTATCACCGCTGATAAGACAGCAACTTAAAATGGATCTGGATATTGGGATTTGAACTGCTTGAGTATAAAGAATATAAAGCGTTATTTACCTTTTGTTTTTAAAAACAAAAGGTTATTAACATCATCTAGTTATATTAAAAATTGCTTTAGTTAGTATCAGTTCACGTTTGCAAAGTTAGCGCAACATGCGTAGGTGGTTGGAACGAGACGGTGTGAACCCACCGTA